ATTATATATAGAAAGCCCCACCCTTAAACTCGCCGAAAATTGTACTTTGGCATTGGAAAATTTTCAAATCGATCATATTGGCCTTGACTATTATACTTGTGAAAAAATTAGGATTTCAAGTCCTAAAAATAGAGTATGTTGTAACACATTATCCAGACCGTCCATTTTTCCTCTCATGGATCCACAATTTCTGTAGCAAAGTACTTTCCAGACGAGGCTTCAAGGTGAAGCATTACTTCTTTCACAAGGCTTAGGCCTCACAAAAACTCCCATGTTATAAATAATACTTCGTAGTAAGGTGCAGATATGTTTGCTTTATACAGTGGTGGCGGTAACCATGCTTGTGCAAGATATCCTTATTCCAATTATAGTGATGACACAGACTAAATATATAGTCATCGTCGGAGCCGTATCAGTATCGCAATGCAACACCCACCCCTATGTGAAGTGTGAAGGTAACACTGGTACTTCGATGTTCCTTCCCTCTTTCATTATTCCTCTTTTCTGGCTTTCCATTGCACTTCAAAATTGGCATTTGTGTGCTAAGATATCAGCTGCTATAAACAAGCAATTCTTTCATTTCTTCCAAGAAGATTCATTTAGCAATTCTTTCATTTCTTCCAAGAAGATTAATTTAGCGATTCTTTCATTTCTTCCAAGAAGATTAATCAAGAGAATCAGGTTTTTCGAAATACGAGAGATAAATTGGAACCAAAAGATAAGAAACACAATCTGCAAAATATTACCAGAAATTTTGGATAGAGAAAAGAGTGATTCACAAAATATAACCAGAAATGAAGAATTCCCAAGAAAAGGAGCAGCAAGAGGAAGAAGTTCGTCGAATATAAGAAAATAACATACCCTTTCGCTGTGTGTTCCAGACAAACTGCAATTGCTCCTATAATGGAGATACACACCCACCCATCTGATCAAGAAACCAGCATCTTTCCTTCCTTCATCTAATGACTTTAAAAGAGCTGACACTCCATGAATTCAAAATGGTTCTTAGCATCAGCGAGTGTTCCCAAATTTCAAAGGGAAAACAAACAAGAAGAAACTCCTTTATTTTTTTCAAAAATTGAGAAAACTCAGAGCTAAGACTTAATTTTTGCAATATGTCTCGTCCAATGAGAGTGCGGCTGGAAGCAAACAATGGGTTCCAATCAGAAACATGCAAATGCTCCCATCCATGGAAAGAGACACCAACCTGAACAACAAAACAATGTCCCTCTTTCCTCCAGCCAATTGATGCATAAAGCTGAAACTCACAACATTCAAATGGGATCCAATCAGAAACTGTGATCCAAATTGAAAAAGAAGTCACATACCCAAACAAGAAACTCTTTCTTTCTATTCATTCATGAACAACCCAAAGCAAAAACACTTAATGAGAATTCTTATCACATTCAAACAGTTTCACCCAAACCACCAAAAAAGAAATATGAAAGGATGATGGTTCTCACCACAATAACTGACTAAAGCCGAAAACAACTAAGGATAGACACCCATACTTAGACGAGAAAACAAGTCTAGGTCAAAGTCCAGACGTCCAAATCCATTCCAATTAGAATCTGG